TCTCACAATCCTGGAGGCTAGAAGTTGGAGAGCAAGGTGTCACCAGGACCTGTTCTTTCTGAGGGTCAATCTGTTCCACGTCCCTCTCCTAGCTTTTGTAAGCACAGGTGCTCTTTGGCTTGTAGATGACATGCTCCGTGTATCTTCACATCGTCTCCCCTCTGTGTGTGCCTATCTGTGTCCAAATGTCCCCTTTTTATAAGGACAACAGACATATTGGGTTAGGACCCACCCTTATGACCTCATTTTAACTTGATCATCTGCAAAAACCCTCTTTTCAAATAAGGTCCTGGGAGTTAGGACTTCAGCAACTTTTGGGGACACGATTCAACCCATAGAACTGGTAAATGGCTCAGCTCCTTCTGGGAGGCTCCTCATGTGCACTTGTAACCTTTCTGTAAGGTTCTTCCTCAAAGGGACCCGGCCTCCGTTCTTGTTTAGGGACTGGATCCCACATCAACTCTGGTCTACGAAGGCTGGGGGAGCCACAGGACTTGTGAAGGCTGCTGGTGGCCCCTCCCTGAGCCATTTCTGAACACCCAAGTGATGGGAGCACTCTCCAGGCATTCCTGGGGTGGTGGTGGTGAAAAGGGCTCACAAAGTAGACCGACTCCAGCACCAAAACCTCCCTGAGCCTGGGACCCCTGCACTATGGCAGCACCAGGCTCCCACCCTTATGTGTGTGTGAAGCACCTGGGAACGTTCTAGAATGCAGACTTGACTCCATGAAGTCTGGAAGGGAACATGTCCATTGACATCCCAGGGATGGGAGCTGCCAGCCCACCTTGAGTGCGAGGCTGCCATGTGTCTGGGGGCAGGGAGGGTCCAGCATTTCGGCTGCGTGAACTGTTGGCCACCATCAAGACCAGGGCTTGTTACCCACCTGCGAGATGGTCACTCCTCCCATGTGCTCGTGCCAGCACCTTTGGGCGTGGGCTGTCCTCCCAGGCAGCCTCTGCCTCTGTCCAGGACAGGAGGGGTCTGGCCCTTATGCACCTGGAAGCGATGCTGGGGTGGGGAAATGGTCCCGAGGAGAGCCCCATCCTGTGTCTGCATCCCGTGTGAGCCCTGGAAGCTTCTTTGCAGAGAGCTACTCTGCCTCAGACAGAGGTCCAGGGGTCACCTCTGCTGTGGAGAAGGTTAAGGTGTGTTCGGGGTTCAAAGCTCTCAGCCTCACGTTTCTGGCTAAATGCCCCAATCCCATGTCTGAGAGTTTCCCTTTCTCCCTGCCAATGCCAAGGTGGCGGTGTAAGGACACTGGAAGTGACGGGCGTTGAACTGGTGCCACAAATCTAGGACTTGGGCCTGGCCTGACCCAGCCTGCTCTGCCCTGCAACTCTGGGGGCAGCCGGGAGAGCCTTTCTGGTTTTCCTGTTCTCAGGGGACACCCTCAGTCCTTGGTCTGATCTTTCCTTTATGAAGGTTGTGTAGAAGTCAGCTGACCCCAAGTCTTTATCACATGACTGTCACCACAGAAACGAAGTGTCTCACCACTTGCCCTCCTGGGTGCCTTGCCTCACACTGCACTTCCTTTCATGTCACCCTGTTATTTAAGATGCCGTGATCATGCCCCACAGAGTGGGTCACCAGAGCCTGTGTCCCTGGTCAGGAGACGTGCCCAAGGAGCTAACCTCAGGGTCTCCTTTCCAGGGCTTGTCAGCAGGGTCACTGTCAGTAGCAGCTTCTGCAGCAGTGAGAGGCCAGGACGGTCTTGTGTTAGCATCGCCCACGAGGGCCCTTGGAATGTCACTCCCAATCCAGGTAATTAAGTGGAGAGAGTGTTGACCTCTCTTTGGGGCCAGTGGACCCCTCAGCCTGGAGGAGCGAGGACAGGGGTCCCTCACAGGGACCCAGAGAAGACTGCTGTGTGGAAAGGCATGGACACAGGAATGTGACCAGTCCAGCGTGACTGTAAGGAGGGACCCAGGAGGTAAACCCTGAGCTCACTTACTCCCAAGCACCCACCTCCTGCTGCACCCACAGCAACCAGAAGCCTGAGAAGACAAGGGCCGGGGACATGGCCCACACAGTGACTCTCCCAGGACACGAGGGCAAAGAAGGACAGACCGAGGAAACCCAGCACTCCCATTCCAGACCCTCATCCCTGAACCGAACCAGCACTGGGATGGGTACAGGTCAGGCCCAGCCAAACCACACGGAGTGAGCGCAGGGCACAGGGGTCTCTGACTAGAAGTGGAGAGCTCTTACCAAAAAAGCAGGAAGACCTCCTCGGCACACAAAACAAGGGACACCCACCGTGGAACCCGAGAAGTTTCTAGATAAGATGGGGGCTTTCACTGGCTTGGGGTCCAACCACTTTATTTTCCAGATAAGAAAAAAAAAAGCCAGAGGAGTTAAAACACTTGTACAAGGTCACTAACTCATTAGTGGACCAGCATTCAACTCAGTGTATCCCCTTTTTCCCTAAACGGTCTGTGTAATGTTACCTGCGATCTTGTGCTAGCATCGCCCACTAGGGCCTTGGAATTACCCCTGGAAGTCTGGAAGGTGACCTGGAGAGTGATGTGTCCTCACAGCACCCCACACGGAGGGCAGAGTCAGACACTCGGCAGGTCTCTCTCAAATTTCCCCCAAGAAGATAGGAATGGGGTTGAGAAAAACATAACTGCAAATGCACGGAGAGACTATAACCAACATCCATGAATCCATGTCTTCCTGTTCAGCTCACTAGACGCTAAGTTTTGTACGACACTCTTTTAGATTTTCTTCATCAAACTAAAACACCACACACACGTTGATGACCTTTGTACCCTCCCTGGTCCTGTTTCCCTTCTTCCCTCGTCCCGGATGGGCCCATCACGCAGACGTCCTGTCTGTGTTGTTACCATTTTATTTCATCTGGGTGCAGTTCTAACAGTGCATTGTATTATTTGACATATTTCAGAAATCGACATCAATAGCGATATCATAATTTAAGAACCATTCTTATTTTTTAATTTAACTTTGTTTTCAATATTTACCCTTTATATTATTTTTTGATTCATTTTCATGTGTTCATTCATTTTCATCTTCAAGGTACTATATATATATATAGATATAGATATAGATATAGATATATATAATACTTCAAGTTCTTTCCCCTTTCCTTTGATAACGAACAGTTTTGAATATTTATATTGCTTTCTCCCCTTCCTTCCTTCCTTCCTTCCTGTGCACCCCCCTTTCTTCCTCTTTAAAAAGCTATTGCAAACAGTGCTGCCAAGCATGCACCTTTGTGCTTCCTTCAGCCCAGAGTGAGGCTTTATCTGGGGTAGATGCGGGCCTAGACTTAGGGGGCTTGCTGAGTCCTAAGGTCTGTGTAGCTTCAGCTTCTCTAAACACCGCCCGCTTTTTCTCCACCTTGGAACACCGGGCGCACCCCCATTTCGGAGAGTTCCCATTTGGTGGGAGTGGTGGTTCTCCACCACCCAGGTCTGGTGGCCTCACTGTCTCTGGCAAACGTAACCCACCCCACAGAGACTCTCTGTGCCCCGGGTCCTTCCTGGGTCTGGCACGTCAGGTCTCCCTGGAGACCCCAGCTCAGGATTGGAAGCTCTGGAGGTGGGGGGGGGGGCTGGGCTCAGGGAAGGAGTGAGGGAGAATATGGTGACCCCATTCTGACCCAGGCTCCCTGCCCAGAGGGGGGCAAGACTTATTTCCCAGGTCACCTAAGAAAAGTAAGTATCTCTCCACTTTCCTCGGAGCCTAATCTCTCGCTGAAGAAAAAATATTCCTCCTATCATGCATTCATTCACTCATTCATCCTTCAACAGATATTTATTCAATAAAGCAGCATTGTAGGTGCTGAGACCACCTGGATGCACAAAGCAGACAAACCCCCGCATCTTGGGCCTTCCACTCTGTTGGGGGAGGGACAGTAAATCATGAACATAGTGCGTGAACAAATCACTTTGCACATTTGAAAAAAATAAGAGCCAGGAAACAGGAATCGCCAGAGCAGGACAGGGGGACCAGGCAAGATGGCGCTGGAGGTCGCCCTTGGACGCACAGTGTCCAGGGGGGCCTCACTGGGAGGACGTGAGTGAGCAACCCCACAGATGCGGGGAGAGGGGTCCTCTAGAGGGAAGAGCCCCTCTACTTTATCAGTTTCCGTGTCAGCTCTTGTATACACAGCTTCATTTTTAAAAGAAAAAGCAAAAATAATTAACTTATAGAAATAAGTAGAAAAGCTCGCTCAGTGCCTGCGAGCAAGGTGTGGCACATTTGTGGGTGCTCAGTGTCAGCACCAGCTGAAGCGTGAGCCCCCGGGGCAGGCCGTGTTTTCGCGGTGAAGGACCGAGCGGTGTCCTGATCACATACGACTTAGCCGTGGAAACGTCTAACAGGACAACACTGATGGAGAAAAGATGAAGTTTGAAGTTCAAGTTCCCTGGGGGGGAGATTGGGGAGCAGGCCTGTCATTCTCCTGCTCGTCTTCTCCCCACTCCCGGACTTGGATTCCCAAAGTAGCAAAAATGGCGGCAGACCCAGCTGGAAGGATGAGACCAGGTGGGTGGGCCTCCGCGTCTCCCTCTCCTTCCCTCTGAGTTGCATGCCGAGGGCCCCCGTGAGCCACTGTTGGCACAAGCATGCCTTGCGTAGGCCATCTCTAGCTATGAATCACTTCCCAGTGAGTATAATGTTGACATAGGAGGAGGGCCTCACCGATGCGGTGGGGACCTGGACCAGGTCATGACCCAGGAGACTCCCATGGATAAGAGTGGGACAGTCTCAATCTCAGATCCCTCCACCAAGATGACTAGGTGACATGAGTTTCTCTTTATCAGCAAACTGGTCCATTTGGTTTGCCCATGTTTAGGAAACACCTTTTAATCAGTGGAGATTACTTGGCATGGAGGACTGTGGGACCCTCCTTAGGCAAATGTTATCTAACACTCTTTCAGTAAACAGAGCCCAGGTTTAAAATCGAGGGTTCAGACAGATTCTCACCCCCAACTTGTAGTCTCCTTGGGAGCAGAGAGGAGAAGGTCACGGCCGCCATGGAGTCCAAGGTGATCTTCGTCCTGGTGATGGTCTTCTCACTGGCCCTCAGCACCCTGGCCCAGCACCAGACCGGTAAGGCAGCCCTCTTCCTGCTTTGTGGTGGGCACGCGGGCCCAGGTAGCCTTGATGGGAGGCTCTGTTATATTTGTACTCTGCATATTTGTGAACCAAGCACTGTTGTGTGCCAGGCATGGCTCTAGGTGCTTAGAAGCTTATAGAAGGCAAACGCAGGTGGAGAGTAGCAGTGGGGTGAAAGGCCAGTGAAGGCTTTGAGAACGGCTGTGAGGAAGTGGGCTCCTGGTGGGCTTCTGTCTTCTAGTATTGACCCCGGACTATTACGCTATTCTTGAGCATCGCATTTCAAAGAGCAATCTTTGAGATAGTCTACAAGAACAGCTCTCCCAAAGGTCCAAGCCAGACTCTACCCCAACGGGTGGACCCACTCCAAGTCCACGCAGATGTCCAAGTGCTTACTTCATGGGTGGAGATCCCCGGAGACCCTCTCCGGCAGGTGTGTGGGCTCTCCTGGGTCCCATGCTCTGCGGAGCCCAAAACACCTGTCCCACTGGCACATGTCTCATCAATATTAAGTAGTCCATGGGTGTCACCAAGTGAGACAGGGCACTATTCCTTCCTTTGAACTTGTTATGTGTCTCAATGCCTTTATCTGCAGAGTGGGATCAATCATCTATCTTAGAGGGTTGTCAAGAAAATTAAGTGTGACGATGTTTGTAAAAAGTTCTTTGCAAGCTACTAAGTGCTAAATAAGCATTACTTATTATTGTTAGAACGCTTTGCTGGATGGCACAAAGGAATAAATACGGGCACCCTGCCCTCTCAGTCTAGGAAAACAGTGTCCCACATCTACCCGCCTTTGGATGGGCTGTCCTTCTCAGAGAACCTGACACCCAAGGTGAAGGTCAGCTGGGACCACCACTGCCCGAGATCTCAGCCCACTCGTCTCTCTGACTCGCCTCCCTCTTCTGTTCAGGCCCCTTCCCTCTGCGTCCCTTTACTCCCCATGTCCCCAAAGGCCTTGCTCCTCGTCCCCTTCTCATCTCACTCTGCCCAGGGACAGGCCCTGATCCAGAAGTGGATGGGGCTGTTGCCCTTCCAGGCCTCCCCCGACCCCTGCGGACAGCACACGGCCATGAGTGTCCCCGAGCCCACGTGACAGAAGGGAGCTCCTCACCCTCCTAGGTCCTCGAGCCCAAGACGGAGACAGGGCTTCAGCCTGCCACTGCCCAGATCCTAGTTTGTCTGCTCAGAGCCCTAGACTCTGAACCTGAGTACAGTCCCCACAGATCTCACATCCAAGTCATGTGGGAGTTGTTGGCTGGCCTTGTCTTCCCGCGTGTCCTCCACTTTGGGGTGATTTCATCACACCCCTGGTTAAAGCTGTCACTCTCAGGCTGAAACAGTTTACCCTAGTTCTCAGCCTGGCTCTTCCCAGACCACCTCCACCCCAACCTGTGCATCGTACCTGCAAATAGATTTGCACATCCACGAACACACCTTGTGCTCTCTATTCACGGCCACTGAGCACACAGCTCCCTCTGCTTGGAACACCCACTGCCTCATCCTCATCTGGTCAGCTGCCCCCTACAGGAAGTCCTCCTTGCTTTGTTCAGCCTTGTTGTCACTCATCCCTTCTATACTTGCCCTGACACACTGGGGTTGTCACACTAGGCTGTTATGTACATATACTTGGCTTTTTCCTCCATTACACTTTTGGCTTCTTAACAACTACATCTTTATATTTAATTTCTGGGTCCCCATCACCCAGCACAGAGCCAGGCTTGAGCTCAATCCCTCAGGAACCTGCCCTGTCTGTTCTTGCTGTGTTGGCTCCTGTTTGTAGCACACACGCGTGGTACTCGATAGATATCTATTGATGGAGTAAGTTTAATAATTGTTGAAATTAATGAGTGAATAAATACATTGTCTAGGTAGGCGCAACGTTTACCAATCCCAGGCACCTTGCATCTTCCCTGAAGTCACAGGTGTCCACATCAGGAAAAGAGGACAGTGTCTGCCTCTCTCACCCCAAGCCCTGGTCTACGTCAGCCACGGCTGGGGGTTGTTCGGAAGCTAGGCTGGAACGTGGACCATCACAGTGCAGAAGTCAGCCCACAACTTATCTTTGCCTCTTGCTCCGGGCGCTTTCAGAGACATGTGCAGTGGACCCAGGCCACAGACAAAATTGTGGCTTTCCCGGCGTCACACCTTCCCAGTGTGCAGACAAAGGTTGCTGCTTTGACAGCACGGTCCCTGGCGTCCCGTGGTGCTTCCATCCTATGGCTGTCGACAACCTTCCAGAAGGTACGTCCATGACAACACTGTGGGGTCCGAGGGTGTAGAATTAGTGAGAGAAACCGCACGGGACCTCGCCAGCTGGGTTTTACTCAGACTAATGGCCACGGGCTGACTGTGAAGCCATGGTTTAGCCTAAATCAGGGTGAATTCAGGTCTGGGGAGGAGGAGGGCGAGGCAGGGCTGAAAGGCCATTTTGCCAGGCACCCTGTGTGATCGCTGGCTTTTTTCCACATCTCTAAACAATTCTGTGAAGAATTACCCCAGGGAATGCTGGCCTAGGGCGGGAGTGAAAGGAATGACAAAATATGAAAGCAGTGCATGTTTTTGCTAAAGATTTTTCCCATGGATTCTTTCAAGTCAAATTCTCTGCAATCATTTAAAAGTGAAAGACAATCTCACCCTCACTAACGCATGCCTTCTCCGTTCCCCCTTTCAGATGAGTGCTCCTTTTAGGCGCTCTCCAGGTGGGAGTGGCCCCTGACTTGGAATGGCCCTTCCCTTCCCCAGGCCAGAGCTCAGCCACGTCAGCGGCCAGCGGTCTGCAGGGGTTGGGGGTGAGGGTGGGGGTGGGAGTGGGGAACCTTCTGTGGCTGAGGCTTAATTCACTGCAGGTACTAATTGCTCTGATTTTTTTCGTGCTCAAAATTGGCCTAAAAATTAAAAGAGATGAATGCTACTCTGTGCTTTCAAAAAAATGTAAACCATTTCCTTTCTCTCAAAGAGAGGTGGCCTATTTCCCCCTCTGGTTTCTTGTCATGGATTATACATTAACTCACACTATCTCCTGCGAGATATGAGGGGTCGACGAGAGAGCGCTGGGGTTGACTTGGTAGATGTTAGCAGCGGGGTCCCTGCACAAGTCCCTGAGATTGCCAAGTCTTCAAGAAACATCTCGAAGCCACGCCCTTGTCAAGTCATGAAAGTAGGCACCAAACTCTCCTAACATCCTTTAAATATTCATTGTGGATGGCCCACGGCTGCCGCGTAATAAAAACTGCCTTTTAGTTCTTTCGCTTCCCCTAGGTGGAAACTGGCTCCCTAGATAGAGCCCACGGCCAAGCGGCAGAAAGTGTTCATCATAGAGAAGTTGCAGACCCTGGCATGAGCTAACATCTTGAGGGAACACCCCTTCCCCCAAAGGGAGGGATACTGAGGCCACATGTCCCCTTGTTACTGGCACAGGCAAGATGGAGGGACAGGGAGCCAACTGGGCCTGCCAACCGCAGCCTGGCACAGCACAGCACGACGCCCCGCCCTGGGTCAGAAGTGCAGACCGGGCAGCCGCAGACACCATCCCCCACGCGCTGCAGTGAAAACGAGGAGAGGGCGCCCACTCCGGGCTGTCACCCGCCCCAGGGGCTCAGCTAAGCAAGCCCATCGCTGCCCAGATAGTTTCCCCTCCCAGGTGCCCGTGTGCTGGGCACAAGCTGCACAACTGTTTGTGGGGCCCTCCCACCCTGCACAGCCAGCTGGGTCCCAAGAAGAAGAAGGGGCACTGAGCTTTGTGGGCCCAGTTTTTCCCCAAATTTGCCAGTCAGATCAATCACTCCCCCAACACTTGGCCACTAGGACAAGCAAATACAGAGGCCCCAGGGGCCAGGGGAACCGTGCACAGGCGGAGACGTCAGATGGGGACCCCAGCGCGTGCACACAGCAGCACACACGGGTGTGTGGCAGTGAGTGTCGGGCTCCGTGCGCTGTGGGGATCCCCGTGGCTTTTCTTCATTGGAAAACGTGCAGAGAAATTTTCACTTCTCGTTTTTGTCCATCGCGTGTCCAATCTCTCTCACAGTCTCTGCCTGCTCATTCCAGGTAAAAAGAAACTAACTTTGTTTAGTACAGTCCCTTCTGAAAGGCAGTGTGTTCCCTTGGTGGCCCCTGCAGGTAACAGTCCCCAAGGAACAAGCTTGCTCTATGGCTCTGAAAAATAGATGAGGCCCTTGGTGGCGCTCACACAGCAGGGGCCTTTCATTGTGGGCCCTCTCCCTTTTCTCGTGTGTGTGTGTGTGTGTGTGTGTGTGTGTGTGTGTGTGTGTGTGTGTGAAGTGACACTTTCCAGGGAGCCATGACACATAAATTAGGGGGCTCCTTAACCCTAAGTCCTTCTGCGGCCAGGGGGCACCCAGCAGTGTGTGCCCTCCTCCTGACACTCCCGGCAAACGCTGCAGACTGTGGGCCTGGAGGCCAGGCGACAAGGAGGCTGATTTGTGGGTCCCCTGCCTTGCTTTCGTTTTCTTGGGTCCTGGCCCCGTGAAGGGTGAAGGGCTGGCAGCTTCAGCCCCGCCCTCCCCTTGGGTAATCCACATCCGCGACCCATGTCCGCCCCCTCTGGCATCCACCTCCCCGACGTCTGACCTTGTGCCTCCCCCATCTGGATGCCAGTCCTCTCGGGGCTCGCTGGCACTGGATGGAGATACACTGGGGACTCCTGCGGGAGCGCTCTTCTATCCTGTCACAGCCCGGCGCCGTAGACAGGACCGGGAGATGGGATTGGAAAAGGGACATGGCTTAGCCTCTGCCACACTGTCCTTCCGGAAGCTCACAAAAATCCATAAGAATTCCATCAGAGGGCTGCAGCTGCTGGGCGGGGAGAAAACGCTGGAAGCAGATGAGTGTGGGAGAGCTGACCGGGAGCGTTGACCGAGGGCAGCGCTATGGGAACTCGGCACACCGCCCGCAGGGTCTGGAAAAGCAAGATGCTCAGGGAGGCTAGCACCACGCCCTGCGCCATACCTTCTCGGGCCGCCCGGCACAGGAGCAGGGCGCCAGCAGCCTTGCTCAAGCTTAGGGGTCGGTGGGAGCTGCCGAGTTCGGTGTGCGGCGAGAGCTGGGGCAGCGCTTGTGGAAGAGGGAGCTGGGCCCATGGGGACAGAGGGCATTGGGTGACCTGCCACTTCCTTCTTGTGTTCAGAGCCAGGGTGGGGGTGAGATGAGAGAGGAGGAGGGACCCAGAGGAGCGAGATGTTTCCTTCTCATGCCCGGGAATATAAAGAAATCATCAGACCCTTCCAGGGTCAACCTCCAACCACGGCCACTCCTCCCCCATGGCGTGTCCACCCCCCACCCCCAATGCCCCGTGGCGGTCACCATCTCAGGGTGGGAGGGGACCTGCACTGGGCCGTGTGGTCTGACACCTTATCCTCACCCAGGCCTCTCTACAGCCATGAGCCCACGGGCCAGGAAGGTGGGGGACAGAGGTGCAGATTAATGTCTTAAGGAAGCAATGGCTGACTTCTCTGGGTTTCTGCAGAGTCCTTGAAGTGTCTGGGAGGGCGGTGGGAAACAGGCAAGCTGTGGTGACAAAGTACCTGAACAAGGACAGCTCTCCTGATAAGGCACAGGAGTGGTTAGCAGCTCGGGGAACGTCACACACACACACACACACACACACACACACACACACACACACACACCACACACACACA